AAAAAATTTCTTTAAGAAAGGACATGCAAGTAAAACCACAAGAATGTTAGAAAGAAATGATGTTCAAGTAAAAACACAAAAGCATTAGAATGCACGACCCCAAGAGTGAACGAACCCTCATGTACACTACGGACTAAGTGATAATGTCAATGCAGGCCCATCGACACAACGAACGCAGCGCCACTCCGGTTCAGGGGGTTGGCGGTGGGGAGGGAGCCTGTGTGTGTGCACGGGGGTGCGCTTTAAAGGAACTCTCTGTACTTTCTGCTCGACACTGCTGTGAATCTGAAAGTGCTCTAAAAAAGTTAAGTATTTTTTAAAGACATTAAAAACAATTCACATGCAAGCAATCCAAACCTTTTGTTCATCAGAAGCAATCTGAGCCCCACAGAGGTGAACCTGAGGGGCTCCGTCAGAAGCTGTGTCAGAGGACTGCAGACGGCTGGGCAGCTGTGGCAAAGGCAGGGGAAGCGTTCCTTACGGGACCACAGCACTTCAGGGGGCTGGCAGTTCCCCGCCAGAAGCTGAGCAAAGAATGCTCTCCTCTCTGCAGAACCTGACTGTTTTCTGCATTTACCCTGAGAATACTCTATTGTTGGGAACCGACCTGCCTGGTATCAGAAGCTGTAACCCCCCACCAAGGCTAAGGCTGAGGGAATGACCTTGGACCATAAGCCAGCAAGGAGACAAAAGCTTATCTCCCTGGCAGGAGCACCACTTCTGCTCCTTTTACTTCACCCTGCCTGGCCCCCAACGTTTGGTCGGTTAGCCAATGACAAGTAAGATTCCCGAAGGGGGGAACAACCTAAGACAGGCACGCTCATGCGGGAGGCTCCCAAGGAAGGACTTTGGGGGCTACAGCAAAAGGGGGTGATGGACCCCTGCCCCTCGGCTTTGACAAAACCTGAGTCCTCCTTGTCTGCAAGAAAATCTCCTAACCTCTTGGCTGCCTTACTTCCCTTGCTCCACCTAAGCCTAAAACAATGACAGAGGGTGGTGCAGCCCTGTGCTGGAAAGGGCGGGTTCCCCTGGTGATCAGGCCTCAGAAAGAACATGTAAAATCCTGTGAAACATGCTTTGTTTAGAATGCTCTCAATGAAATGATAAGGGTCCAAGCAAAAAGTAAGTTTCTTCCTCAAAGTTTTATGGCTCTTTAGCTATCTGACCCTGACTCAAATAGGCCCTCAGAGTTCTTTGTTATCTATTATTTGATCGTGACTTCCTGGCAATGATTAATGAGCTTTACCTGAATTCCTGGGTAAATGAACCCAATAAAAGCCTGCTCCGGAAGAATGGGGCGCTCTCCCCTAGAGAGAGTGGCCGTTTCGTACCTATTTCCCCACAGGACCCGGTTGTCCATGTGTATGTTTTTTGTCGTGTTTCGACGAGCATCCGAGCCACGATGGATACTGCTGGCCTGGTATCCGTCTCACTCTATTGTTTTTCTCCTGTTATTTCTGACGTAATAAAATGTTTTCAGTGAAAGCTTAGAGGACTTAGTATCGTGCTAAATAATCAAGGGCTCAAGAAAAGCAATTTACAAGTGTCTTTGCTTAGCTTTAAAATAGGAGTTCTGACTAGGCTGGTGTGGCTCAGTGGATTGAGCACCAGCCTGAGAACCAAAGGGTCGCCAGTTCAATTCCTAGTCAGGGTACATGCCTGGGTTGTGGGCCAGGTTCCCAGTAGGGGGCATTTGAGAAGCAACCACACATTGATGTTTCTCAACCTCTCTTTCTCCCCCTCCTTCCCCGCCCTCTAATAAGTAAGTAAGTAAATAAATAAATAAAACCTTTAAAAAATGGAGTTCCAGCCAGGGCAAAGGACCAGACTGCTAAAATATAAGCTGTTTTTAAGGGGCTTGAATTGAAGAACAAATACCAAAATGGGATTTTAATAATAAGGAGTTTCTGTTACATTAATAACAGCCACTCTGATGCAAGTCTGAGGACAAGACCAAGGCTGGAATAAATGGGCTAATACTAAATGTTACCTGGGTTCTCACTTTCTTCTTTGTAAGAAATAAGTACATTATTTATGCTCCCTGTACTGTGCCAAATGCTACTTCTTCATATATACACACACACACACACACACACACACGCACACACACGCGCGCGCGCGCAAAAGGCTTAAAGGTTTCTGTGTGGAATACATAACTTGCAGTTGGAACTACCTAAATGACATCCAGATTTTCCTTCTTTATTGAATGTACTAAGGTGGCATTAATAAAACTATATAGGTTTCAGGTGTCCAGTTCCGTAACACACCATCTGCACACGGTACTGTGTGCTCACCAGCCCAAGTCTCCGTCCGTCACCAGTTATCCCCATTTACGGCCTTCTCCCTCCCCCACGCCCTCTCCCTCCAGTCATCACCACACTGTCGTCTGTGCCCGTAAGTCATGTACACGTACACATACACACATACACCTTTTTTTCCCCTTAATCCCTTCACCCTTTTCACCCAGCCCTGCCACCCACTCCAGATTTTTTTTAAACTGCAGGAAGGAAAAGCCAGCCCCGACAAAAGCTGAGTCTGCAAACCTGACCCCCAGGACTGGCAACGTCACAAGGAACCCCAAACTGTGGCAGAATGGAAGCAGAAGTATCCTGTGTGAACAATGGAACGTTAACAGGTTTATAGGGGAAATCGAACCCCTAACATGCCGTGGCTCCAAATCACAACTCCCACCAAGCTACTGTGAGTTCATGGACAAAAGCACCACTAGTAACTTCCACAACATGCCCGACAGTATCGAACTGCTATGCTGGGTACAAAAGGCGGCATAAGCGTGGGTTTAACACCAGTGGCATTTGCTCAAGCTTTGCATTCCGCACCCACAACCAGAGAGCACATTTCCCGGGTGCCTGACACTGTGCTCACTCAGGTGGCCGCTAACCTGAATGGGCGTATTCATTAGCTTCCCTGGGAAACTTCAAAAACTAAAACAGAAGTTTGGAGCATAATCCTGCGGCCAAGGCATCTGTGACCACGCAGGGGAGCAGCACCTTGCAGCTCTTCTGCAAAGCCAGACGCGGAAGTCTCTCACCTCAAAAGCGGTGAGACAGCACCACGCGGCCGGCCCCGGGCAAACCCTCACTTCCTGACATCCCCGGGGTTAACTGTCATTAGATTTAGTGTAAGGCACCAGCAACGAAGAAACTCACAATTACTGGGAGAAACCGTCGAAATTTTCAAGTTAGAAAACACTGCTGTCCTGACTGGTGTGGCTCAGTGGGCTGGCCGCTGTCCTGCCAACCGAAAGGCCACCGGTTCAATTCCCGGTCAGAGGGCATGACCGGGTCATGGCCCAGGTCCCCGGTTGGACATGTGTAAAAGGCAACCAATCCATGTTTTTTACCCACATCAATGTTTCTGTCTGTCTCTTTCTCCCTCCCTTCCCCTCTCTCTAAAACTAAATAAAATCTTTTTTTAAAAAATTGCTTATGGCATTGAGAAGAATAGCAATAAACTTCAAACGTACAAATGCCACAGAACTTCTTGATGGAAAGTGTCCAGACATTTCCTATGCATATTTTATTTTTAGGCTTTTATATGCTTACATATGAAACAGATGTGACTCAACGTAAAACAGTCTGATAGGAGTGCTCGTCCTCCCCACTGAAACCCTCACTTCTTTAAGAAGGAGTCACACCGCAGGGTCCCGAAGAGCACGGGGAGCTTCCGGGGGCACCCGACCCAAACCAAACTCCACACAAACGGGGGACTCACGCGCTGCTCTCCACACAAGAGCAGTGCATTTTATCTTCGCAAGATCCTAATGAGACGTTTCTTTATTCTCTACGTTTTAAAATTGAGGTGTTACAGTGGTTCAATGCGACCAGGGTTTATTTAGTTTACAATTCTGTTGGTTGACAGTGTGGGCTGTGCTCAGCTGGGCTTACTCATGTGTCCGCCACTGGCTGCCGATCTGGCGTGGGGGTCACTTGCGCCTCACTCACTCGGGTCGCATCCAACAGCTGTCCAGGGGGGCCGAGGGAAGGGTCAGAAGAGCACAGGCTCTGCTATGTGAGTGTCTGTCCAGCCCCTGCTGGTGTCAGGTGAGCCTTGCACCCCACCGCCCAGCGCAGCTCATGAGCAAGCCCCGAGTGGGCAGGTCCTCGGTCGCCCAGAAGGGGTGCGGGCACAGGCAAGCCAAGGTACAGCAGCTATCTCTGCGGTCGCCACAGGGCCACTGTTCGTACCGCAAGTGTCCAGAGGAGAGGGAATAACTCTCATACGGATGACACTGACATGCAATAAAGTACAACCGTAAAAGAAAAAATAAATAAATAAATAAATAAATAAATAAGATTGAGGGTGTCAGCCAAAGTCACAAAGCTAAATGTAGGGTATGACCCAATGAAATGTTTTTGGCTGCCTCACTGTCCAGCAGGAGACACGGGTTCCAGTTCTGCACGGACGCCCCTTCTCAATACGCGGGCCCCACGGGATCAGCAGATCACCTCTGTTCCTAACCGCTTCACCCCCACGGGGAGGGTGCCAGCCTTCAGCTCTGTCTTCCAGGATTGTTGGGAGAACATGAAATGAACAGAATAAAAGCCTTATGAAAAGTTCAAAGAGCTACATAAATGTGCTGTGTGCTAAATATATTCAACTCTGAATATTCCAGCAACACAAAGATTTCTAAAATAGAGGACCCTAACAGTGTGGCCACCTCGGGGTGTCTTTCACGGTGTCTATCTGGAAGCCTGTAAAGTGACAGATGAAAGTCTTGGCTCCAGAGCAAACACCCTGAACAAGGCAGCATAAAGCGTGGATTTGATACTTACTGCTGAGGACGGCCAAGAAGTCTCAAAAAACAAATGTAAACAGCCATCTGTATCCAAGGAAACCCATTTTCTCATTTATAAAAACATTACTGATTTTAAAGGACATATTAAGTGTAATTTTTTAATTTCAAATGTCAAACCCTAAAATAGAATTTTTTAAAGGTATAGGATGACTCTGATAAATGAAGAACCAGAATTCTTTCTTACCTCCCACATGTACACGTTATTCTTAACCTGAGATCTTTTTTTCTTATCGCCAACAAATGGTCCAAACTTTTTCCCTTTTAAAATTGGTTTAGTGGCCCAGACACCTAGAAAACAAAACCAATACTTTTATGATGTATGTGGTTACTTTAAAGACTAAGGCACTAGAGCTGTTCTCTCTTACCGCCCACGCCTCCCCTCCCTCTTTCCTTAGGTGCGTGTCCTCTGCTTCCTTTCTTCTAAGCTCCAAAGGCCCTTCCTTTGCCTCTGTAACTTGTGTACTGAGTTCCTGACGCCTAACCGGCTCACTGCTTCTGCCTCTGTGACTTTCCCTCCAAAAAGCTAAAAACACTATTTGCACTCGAGTTCTCGGCTCTGAACTCCTTCTTTGCCAAACTCAAGAACCGAGGTCTACCACCACCAGTAATATCTGGTGCTGTGACTCAGGCTGTCTTATCACCCTTACTGGTCTGGAAAGAAAAGACTGAAGCAATAAAACCAACCTAGTTTCACAAAATATTGGGTTGGCCAAAAAGTCCATTTAGTTTTTTCTGTAAAATAAGAGACACATTTTTCATTTTCACCAATAACTTCATTGATTTGGATATTTTGAGCACATTGGCTATCTCCCATGTGGTATAATGTTGATTGTTCTCAATTCATGTCTCCATTTGATCGCTATCAACTTCAACTGGTCTACCTCACCGTGGAACATCGTCCAGAGACAAGTCTCCAGGACAAAACTTCGCAAACCACTTTGGACACGTTTGATCAGTCACATTGCCTTCTCCACTGCACAAATCGTTTTTTGCATTTCAGCTGCGTTTTTACTTTCTTGAAATGATAAAGCATAATATGCTGAAAATGTTGCTATTTTCTTCCATTTCAATATCAAAATGGTTGCACAAAAATTCAACAATTTCAAGTTTTTCTTAAATGCATGCTGATATGACAGCTGTCACAATACAAACAAAATTGTTTCAAATGAAGTTAAAGACAACTTAAGCACTACTAGAGCCATTTTATGGAAAAAAACAAATGAACTTTTTGGCCAGCCCAACAGTTAAAAGGCCAGACAGCCTAAAAGGAAGATAATGTTAAATCAACTCAAATCAGATGAAATCAAATTAAGTGACATCTTCAACAGTGATTTTTATTTTTCTTCTTTATATTCTTCTATATTTTCCAAATAGCCTGTAAAGAACCTGTACTGTTTTACAATAGAAAAGCATGTTTTGCATTTGCTTATTTTAATTTTTACATGTAAAATTACCCAGACAGTACAATCACAAACAGAAAAAAATACTGGAATGTAATGAAACTACAAATAGTTTTTAAACTCCTCTTTCTACTTTTCTAGAAATTTCAAATACCTCCAATAAACATGAATTACTTTTATAAAGGTTTGGAAATGTTTTTTAATAAACGTTTTTACAGTTTGTTTGCTCACAGTGAAAAAACCCTCTCCTCTCTAAGCTTCCTAAAACCTGAGCTCCTAGGACAACTCACTCTGCAGAGTTTCAAAGAGCCAAGGTTCATGCTGCTCTGTGGTGCTCTCACGGGTATTTCTGTTTCCTGCGCACTGACCATCATCGGCTAACAGGACGAAGAGGCAGTGGCTAAAATGGCAGGAGGCCACCCCGAGTCAAGGGCACCGGCGCCCAGCAGTGACCCTACCGACAGCATCACTCTGAGCAGGTCCCCAAGTCTCCTGGCCTGCTTCCTCACTATCAGAGGGCAGCTCTCAGCCAGTCCTGTTCAGCTGGGACACACAAATTCCACTTTTCTGTAAGTCTGCTATGAACCCCATTTGATAACACAGCTAACAGCCAGTTAGCAGAGCTGTAAAATCAAACACTTTCATGTGAACAAATGATACAATTTAAATGCTCACAAGTTACTCACTGAATCATTTTCAATGAGAATTAGAAAAATCATTTATTAGAAATGTATTCACACACACACACACACAAATTTGAATATCAGAAGTACACATTTTTAAAAGGAAATAGGGTATACACATGATATGTTCCAAGACTGTATTTTGATTTTTTTTATCATTTACTTCCTTAGCCTTCTGACTAAATATTAGGACACAAACAAGACCAAGTACAAAAAAGCTTGCATTGTACTAAACAAGACACCTCTGCCTGAAGCATTCACATACACTCAGTTGTCTTCGTTCAAATATGTTCTGAGATCCACAAAGTGTCAGATACTGGGGACATAAAGACAAATGAGAAATGAAGGTTCTCAGCCCCCTACCTTAAAGGCCGCATAAGAAGCCTGGCTGCAGCCCGCCACCCCTTCCCCCGCTCCTGCTCTGACCCCAGCACTCACCAATCCGCGTCTTGTCAACAGCAGATGGGGAAAGCCTCACTTCCTCCGGAAGTCCTCGAAACACATGTTCAGGTACCTCGGCCAGGGTCTCAGCAGCTGCCACGGGCTCAGCAGCGTTCTGCAAGTAAAGAAACAGAGGATAATGGCAAAATGAAGAAAATCCGGTTAGCGTTTTGTGGTTTTTTTTTCTGGTCCAATAAGCAACCGTATTGCAAACACGTAACTGAAAGCTGAAACTGGCACTCCAGACCAAGATAATGATGCCAAGCATTTCAAGAGCTGCTTTGATGCTTGTTTGTGAGTGTCCGAAGGAAACCACTAACCTTCAAGCATGTCAGTGCTAATGTGTTTTGTTCCAGCCACCTGTGGTCATTTTCAAACTAGGTAAATCTCTGGTATCGCATGCTTTAAACTCCCAGAGAATCTGGCAGGGAGCTCCAGCTTACGTTTAAAAGCTACCAACAGTATTTTACAGCATTTAAAAACTCAAAATCTCCACTCCCTACTGAAATGAATACTTTCGGCACATACTGTAAAGGCCATGATGGACGGCCGCCCGACCCATGCGTTTATTCTCCAGCAGCAGCCCCGCTGACAGGGCGCGGACTAGTCCACGCAAGGGCACTGCGACCCAGCCTGGGCCTCCGTGGGAGGCGCGCCCGCTCCGGACACAGCACTCTCCCCCCGTCCACCAAGCTGCCACAACCTCACGTCTCTGAGAAACACAGAATTTTATACAACCACTAACCACAGGCCATGCTCAAATTCACTGTAATCTCAAGATTATGACTGCTTATGTATATAATGGGATAAAAGGGAGAGAGTAGAGCCAACTGGTAAAACATGACTGTTATTTTAAAAATAGCTTTCAAATCAAAGGGAAGCCCGGGGTCTATTAACTGGGACCTCATCCACCCTAAGAACTGAAGCGTGCCTCACGACCCCCGAGAACGATGGGTCTGCAGTCTGCGTGTTTCTATTCCACTGCAAAGGGAAACATTTCTCAAGGACTGTCACAGAAACCAATGTAGGCAAAAAGCAAACTATGCTAAAAGATTAATTTTCCCACAACAATCAGGCTCTTGTAGTTTTTAAGAACGTTCTGTGCCAAGGAAAGAATATCATACAAATTTGAGTACTCGCAGTGTTTTCAATTAAAAAAAAAAAAACATCAAAAGGCTGCTTCAGGAGAAATAAACCCACAGCAACGAGCGAGTCATTACGAAGCGCTGGAATGCGCAAGAGCGGCCACCTGCAGACCCGGGTCCGGGCCTGGGATGTTGCAGAGTCCACGGCGCGCATGCGCATGCCTCAGGAGCGCAGCTGCTTTGACCCGGCTTGATTCGCTCTTTGGTCCCGACAACATGACCACGCACCAGTGCCCTCCCAATCGTGGGAATACCAAATCTGTCCCCGGAAAATTACCTTACGATATTTTTAATTAGCTAAAATGTAAAAATTTCTCACTTCTAAATATAGTGCCCCCCCTTTTAAAATTTTAATCTATAAACTAGAATTTTAGAAATGTGAATGCATTTTTTTTCAAAAGGGAAAAAGGTATCTTTTCCTCCACCCACTAACCTACCCACCCCCGCCCCATAATCATCCTGGTCTTTCTCCATCAATGAGTCTGTCCCAATTTTCCTTGTTAGTTCAGTTTGTTCATTAGGTTCCACATATGAGTGAAGTCATATGGTATCTGCCTTCCTCTGACTGGCTTATTTCACTTAGCATAATGTTCTCTAGGTCCACCCACACTATCACAAAGGGTAACATTTTCTTCTTTTTTACAGCCAAGTAATATTCCGTTGTGTAAATGTCCCACACTGATGGACACTTGGGCTGCTTCGGTATCTTGGTGATTGTACATAACGCTGCAATGAACACAGGGGCACTTGTGTTCTTTCAAATTAGTGTTTTGGGTTCCTTCAGATTTAACATCAGAAGTGGAAATGCTGGGTCAGAAAGCAGATCTTTTTTTAACTGTTTTAGGTATCTCTATACTGTTTTCCACAGTGGCTGCACCAGTCTGCATTCCCACCAACAGTGCAAAAGGGCCTTAGTTAGGTTTATTTCTAGGCATTTTAATCTTTTTATAGCAACTGTGAATAGGATTGCTTTCTTAATTTCCCTTTCTGTTAGTCTGTTATTGGCATATAAAAATGCAACTGATTTTTGGATATTAATTTTGTATCCTGCTACTTTGCTAAATTCATTTATCAGTTCTAGTAGTTTTTGGTGAAATCTTTGGGGTTATCTACGTATAATATCATGTCAGCTGCAAATAATGACAATTTTACTTCTTCCTTTCCAATCTGGGTGCATTTACTTCTTCTTCTTGTCTGACTACTGTGGCTGGGACCCCCGGGCCATGTAGAATACAAGGGGAGGGACTGAGCAAAAAAGGAAAAAGGCCTCGTGGACACGGACAACAGTGTGGGGATTGCCGGCGGGGGGGGGGGGGGGTAAGGGGACTAAATGGTAATGGCAAAAAAAATAATAAAGATTAAGTTAAAAAACAAAAAACATAGTCAGAAGTAACATAAATACCCTGCAGATTTATCCATACAACTGAAAAAAGGAATTCCACTGGAATATAATCTGCGAACGGCTGCCCTACAACCTCCAAATGTCTGGGGAAATGGAGGCAGGAGACGGCACCTACGGCAGGAATGGTCATTCCCCCAGGAAATCTGTAACTTCATTATAAGCTGGAGACCAGGTACATTAAAATTTGTGAAACATCTATGAATATAAAGGACCTCAGCAGAGCTGCCACAGGAGAAAACATTTTTTTAAAAGTTCCTATTTATTTACCTGCTTTCGGCCAATACATTACAATACAACTTGGGCTCATTATGTAGTTGAGAAAAGCCTTTTCTCCATTTACTGTGGTATCCTTCACGGTACAACAGGACCCAACTAGAATGGGAGGACCTCATCCACGCAAAGCCACCCGACGCGGGCCGGCTCCCAGGCGGTCTCCCAGGCGGTCTTCTCGCCTCTCTCGGGCTGCTGGAGTCCCCTGCAGTGGCCTGAAACTGCCTGGGGTGTTTTTAGAAAATCAGCAATTCGAAAAGCAGAAGGTAGGCTGGCCGGCCTAGGGAGAACCTCCCTTTCCCCTTCCTGTGTTTCCTGCACAGCTCGTATCACAGTTTTCAACAATTATTTGTATACATATGAGTTTAATGTACCTCCCAGCAGACTGCAGTGGACACAGATGGTGTCTACCTCACTGGGTGCTGCAGTCCCAAAGCTTAGCAGGAGGTGTAAAAAGTTCGTCCCTTAAATACTTGAATGAATGAATGATTGTTGTAAGCCAACTTAAATCTTTTTTTAGAAAAGGGAGGGACAGAAACAAATAAATCAGCAGGGTCAGCTATCGGAAAGTATTTTCTCCACGTGTGCCTACATCTCCTGAATCTGAGACAAGTATTTTTCAGGGTCAATACAAGAATCCTTTATGTGTGATATGTTCTTAATTTCAAGCAACTGGTTTATAAGTAAACTCTGAAACAAAAAAATTGCTTTAAAACATTTCTTTCCGTCACACACTCATAAATTGGAATCTCATATATATATATATATATATGAGTTTATACACACACACATACCTTGATAGTACTACATATAATATATTCTAAACAGGGTCACCTTGGTTCTTACACTAAAGAATCACAATTTGACCCTGGGAATGCTTCCCAGATCAATTGTGTCTATAAGAAATTGCAATATCCACTCAATTAACTTATTAAAAATATTTCTGAGTCCCTTCTATGGGCCAGGCAATGCTTTGGGCATCACACTTGCCTCAACAATGTGTCACTGCAGTGAGCAAGGCAGAAAAAGTGAAGCAAAGAGACGCAGTGCCGGGTAGGTACTGGTGCTCGGAGGCAAATCCAGCACTAGAAAGGCAGTGCTGGAGAGAGGGCAGGGTGCTGCTTTAGCCGGAGTGCTCAGGGAAGACTGCTCTCTGGGTAGGAAGGGTCGTGTGACCACGTGGGAGGAAACCTGCCAGGGAAGGGAGCCCACAAGGCCCCTTGCTGGGTTAGGAGAAAGCCTGGTGTGCGCAGAGGGCAGACAGGCAAAGACCACTGTGTCTAGAGAGCAGAGAAGGTGGGGCAGGCGGGGTAATGCCTTAGGAGAAATGTGTTGCTGTTCGCTGATCTACAGAGGAGGTAACCAACCAGAGACCAGACTCCGAGCTCCAGGGCGGAACCCTGGCTGCTCCTTCTCCCAGGACGGTCCGGTCCGGCCGTCCCAGGACAAAGGCACAATGCCATCCTAAGGCTTCCTAACACTGATCACTGTGACAAGCATGGGGGAAATTACAAGGACTTCCTCACTTCCCTACTGTGTAACGGGAAACACGAGAACTCTTTATTTCACTGCCTAATGAAGTAGTTTCCAAATATGCATCAATGAACTGATCTGGAATGGTATGCACTAAATCTAATTAAGGTATTAAATTTAAGGTAATTTAGTAACTTAGTTATTGACTATTAATTGATCTCATCCATTTGATATTGCCCACTTCTTACTTCCATCTCAAATTTAGTCAATACTTCCTCCCTTCCCCAGTAAACGGCCAGGCGTCTCCCTGGCTCCCTGTCCACCACTCCATCATTCATGAGCACTCGGGCCGCCACTGTGCTGAGCGGTGCAGATACGATGGTCAATAAAGCTGTCTGGCTTCCTCCCCACGAAGCTCACTGGCTGGAGGAATGGCTCTTTTCCTGCTTCCCCACACAAAAAATCCTTAGAGATACTTTGATTCTCCAGCTCTGTCACAAAGCCTCTGAAAGGCGCTTCTACTGCTCTCTGCTAATCCCCTCCCTCTGGCCCAGCAGGACCAGACTATCATACGCTGGGGGGATGGGGGTTGCCTAGGGAGCTACCCCTTCCTCTGGGCCGAGATCTAGGCTGAGCACCGCCCAGGCGTCACCCCCCCACCTCCCAGCAGCAGTCTTCACTAGCACTGGCCGAGCATGCGATGCCACTCGGACACCGCTCCGAGCGCTTTCCACGGCACCATCTCATTTAATCTTCAGGCCATCGCGCTGACTGTAATTTTAAGACCCCTTTACAGCTGAAAACCGAAACCCACCCGCAGTGGCA